AAATGTTTTGACACCTAAAACCCCCTAAACATTCAAAACTAAACCTTAATAGAACATAATTAACCCAAACATAAATAATATAAAAAAAAAATAATTTTGAAAAAGTAGCATTTTTGTAAATATTTCAAAAGTGTGGCATTTTTATAAAATGGCACTTGGAAAATGGTATTTTTTGAAATTTCTCTTATTTTATTCAGATTTAGCTGATTTATTGTCAGCCTAATGTTATTTTCTACGAAACATATATACATCTCCATCCCGAAAATAATAATATAATTATTAAAACCCCATACCTCAACTCGATTTCTAAAAACATATTTTATGTGGACGTAACAATTCCACGTGTCACACTACAACTCGTTATTACATACTCTGCCTTCTCTATCTGACTGTACATGACAGATCATCCAAGCAAATCAAATACCCAACTCTCACACCTTCTCAAACTTTACTTTCCTCCAAAAACTTCTCAATAGACAAATTCTGAAACAGAGAGAGAAGCCAAAACCACAAGTAGAGAGAGAAGTTAATGGGATTCTGTTTAGAGAGCATCAAATCAATCTCCGGCGGATGGGGCGCAGCGGCGCGTTCCTGTGACGGTTGTAAATCGGTAACAGCCGCCGTGTACTGTCGAGTTGACTCAGCTTTCTTATGCATCACTTGCGACACAAGGATCCATTCCTTCACGCGCCATGAGCGTGTGTGGATCTGCGAGGTCTGCGAACAAGCTCCCTCCGCCGTTACCTGCAAAGCCGACGCCGCCTCTCTCTGCGTCACCTGCGATTCCGATATCCACTCGGCGAATCCACTCGCTAGCCGCCATGAACGAGTCCCCGTCGAGTCTTTCTTCGACTCCGTAGTACCAAAAATCTCACCTTCTTCCACGTTTGGGATTCTCGGGGGGTCCACCACCGTCGATATGACTGCCGTTCCCGTGATGGGTAATAACTCCGACGATCTCGGTTTGTGTCCTTGGCTTCTTCCTAATGATTTCAACGAACCGGCGAAGATCGAAATCGGAAGTAATGAAATGAAAGCTTCTGACTTTATGTTTTCCGATTTCGATCGGCTCATTGATTTCGAGTATCCGAACGCCGGAGGAGACAGTCTTGTTCCGGTTCAGACAAAAACAGAGCCACTTCCGGTAACTAACAACAACATCAACGATCATTGTTTCGACATAGATTTCTGCAGATCAAAGCTCTCTGCTTTCACTTACCCAACTCAATCATCAATCAGCCACAGTGTAATCTCCCCTCCAATCAAAATCTCAAATTTCTTGAAAATTTTCATAAACTGACTTCGATTTCATAATTTTTTCAGGTTTCTACTTCGTCTCTCGAATACGGTGTGGTTCCTGACGGAAACAACTCTGTTTCTGAAATCTCAATTCCGTTTAACCGGAGCATGACGGCGACGACGACGACTACAGGTGATCAAACGAGCACGATGGATAGGGAAGCTAGGGTTTTGAGGTACAGAGAGAAGCGAAAGAACAGGAAATTCGAGAAGACGATACGTTACGCTTCAAGAAAAGCTTATGCAGAGTCAAGGCCAAGGATCAAAGGCAGATTCGCGAAACGAACAGAGACTGAAAACGACGACGTTTTCCTTAGCCACGTTTACGCTTCAGCTGCTGCACAGTACGGTGTCGTACCGACCTTCTGATTACAAAATCTTACGGTGGAATTAAAAGTTTTTAAAATAATGAATCAAATCACCTGAAAAATTAAAACTCGTTTTCTCCACCGTTAATTTGCTTTGGGTGTATTATAATTATAGTGAGTCTTCTTACCGTAGACAAACACTCTTATCTTCTCTACAGGCTACACAGCTTCTCATGTTTTTTTTACCGTCTCTCTCTCACTGCCACTATAAGGCTGTAA